CCCCCCCCCCCCCTCTTCCCCTCGCCGTTGGCCAATTTTCCCCCGGCCGGGTGCTAGAGTAGACTCTTCAATCTTTTCGCCCATTTGTCCACATGCAAGTCACGCCATTAGCCCGTCTACAGCCTTTGGGTCTTAAGGATCGGCGACTTACAGCATGGTGCAAGCCCTGGCGTCACTCCCGCATTGCCAGTGATGCGACCAGCTGTCAGCTTTGGGCTTTCATTGACGGGTCTGTCCACTAAGGTTCTGGGTGCCGGTCAACACCTGGAGGAGCTGTCATGTATCTGTGGTGGCACCAGACTATAATGTAGATAACCCTACTTCCTGTATACCGGGAATATGGGGGGTGCCGCCACTAGCTCATCTTCTCGACGGCTCATTCGGCGATACCGTCACAAAGTCAGGCCTCCCTGTCCGTTGCATTGCGTGGATGTACCCGGTACATGTAGGGGCCAAGTAGATTACCAGCCCATCTGTAATCTATTCAATTCCTCGGCCTCGTGATAGCGAGCAGGGTACTCGCAAAAATCACCCCCGTCGCTAGTTGGCACGCTGTCTGCCTCATAGTTAGTGTCATATCAGATCAGACCAGAAAAACGCGGATGATAACGGGATGAGAAACCCCCCCTTCATGGCTCGGCTTGGGCTCACCTCGCCAGCACCGGATCGGTTAGCATAAATTCCTGTTGGCGCGGGGAACTACACACGATTGCTTACACGTACGCCTATCTGCCCTGCCCCCCTGCCCCCCTGTGTGCTGACGACCAAGTCATTGCTGGTGGATTGCCCCAGTCTCAGATGACTCGCGTTTAGTAAGTTAGTCATAATCCTGCTGGGTTAGCTCATGGACTGATGCGGATGTTAGTGAGTATAAGCCTATGGCGCCACTACGGGAGTCAACTGTAACCAAGAAGTGCCGCCCGGACGAGGAAAACTAAAGGAAAAAGCAATACGAGCATCGACGGAAGCACACCCTACCAGTCGAATACTGCCCCCTCGTACATTTCTTGGTAGCCAATTCCCGATCGAAACGGCCCCCTTGGCATTCACTGGGCTGGCCATAGGCGGTGTCCGTATCTTCTAAATGATTGTGCCTGACTCAGAGTGGTGGCTCAATAGCCTAGTGTGGTATAAGCTCCATAACAATTCGGAGATCCCGGTCGTGCAAACCCCGAAAAAACCCTCCCAGATGATAGACGGGAATTGAAGAGTCGACGGGCAGACCAAAGCCCGCGATTTGCTGGAAGGACTTCCAGACGAAACTCTATCGTGTGCAGACGATGATCTATCGAGTGCGTGCTATAGACACTATCGACTGTTAATCGCTATCTTCGCGTGTATGTCGTACGTATCTAGCCGCTCTTCAAGTGCGATGGGTCTCGGGCTTCCAGGGTCTAAACCATGAATGGCCAAAGTCTAAGTAAGCGTATTAAACGGCCTCTGCTGGTAACAAGCGGGCGGCGATTGTTTTGGCCTGCCTGTTCCATGGGTTCGACCCGCTGCCACCATTCGAGATCCACTGGTGCTAGTCGACTTACAGTTCAAAGCCTCACGGCAGTCCGTGAGCCTGGTTAAAGTAAATGGAAGATCTATCCATGTATCACCCGCTGATTCTATCGAGGAAGTGTATCCCGAGCTTGTTCAGTCGGCTACAATCAATAGGAAAAGTAGGCAGCCCCTGTAGTTCGCTATCAATGACGAACAGACAACATTGGCGTCAGTCTCTTGGCTCCAGCCTTAGAGAAATCAACTGATCGTCATGAGCTTAATTGGCACCGATGGCCATGACTGCCATGGTATCATATTAATAATTAATATTGCCGTGGACGGGCGGAAGGAGGGGGAACGGGACGACGAGTGAATCCCGCTGGTCCCTTGTCGGGGACCCATCACTGATGGAGCATTACAGACCGCGATCCAGATGAATTTCTTGAAGCCGCCACGTGGAGTGAACAGAGGCGTCAATATCACTCAAAACAGCTGATAGAGGCTTGATGAATCGCTCCCTTTGAGTTTACGGCTGGCTGTCATCCAGCAATCGAATCGGTAGAATAGCCGCATCGTAGAGCCACCGAGAATATCGTGGCGTTGGGGGCGTTGTCCTCGTTGTTTCTCCCAAGAAAGATAGCCCAGAAGTACGTCCAATAGCAACGGATGAAGGTATCATGGCCACTGCCAGTGGGAGACCTACTGCCTAAGTAGGTAAGGTGAGTAGGACGATTGTGGTTTGGAGTGAGGCCGATAGCAGACCCTGGGGATAGCTGCTGCTCTGGGCCAGTTTCAGCATGATGCCTGCCGGCCCAGAACGGAAAAGCCACACTTTTCGGTTGTTGCATCGCTGGTATCCCTTGCTGATAATTTCCGATCTGTGCTGCCTGGTCGGCCGGCTGGTCTGACATTGTTCTTTGTCCCATTTGGCTTTCAATACTTTTTTTCTTCTCTTTCTTTTATTCCCTTTCCGTCTCTTCCCTCCGTTGATGCTTTTTTTTTTTTTTTTTTTTTTTTTTTTTTTTTTTTTTTTTTTTTCGCTGGACGACCGACATCATGATCAGTCTGGGGGTCAAGAAGGGGCAGTCAGGAACTTAATTCCAGCAACAATTGTTTGGAGGGCATGGCTCCTACTACCTTGGTACAAGGATTGACGGGATTTCCTTTCCCAGCACCTTGGCGAGAAAAATAAATAAATCAATGAAAATAAGAACTAAATGAATAAAATAGAAAAACAAAAATATAAATAAGTAACGACAATGTACATAGTAATAGGCATAATTGGAGTCAGTACGAGAGTAGGAATAGATTATGATCATTTTGGGTAGGTACGAAGTAGTAAGTTAGTTTCATCGGTTAGCCCACGACCTAATCAGACCTTCCATCTTACACATACCTACTCCTACCTCCCTTTTCACTGTCGTACAGAATATCCCATACGTAGACACTGCTTGTTGTATTGGCGTGACCATGCTGTGATCCGCCTCAGCTCTGACTCCTTTGGAGCGCCGTGCAATTGTCTTCGGTCGTGGTTCTATCCAGAATGTTATGTGGTGGACTACCGTCTCCTCTTCCAGCACCATCGACTTGGGGTGAGTTAATTAGAAGAAAAAGTAATTTGAAAACATGGACGGGCAACTACTTACCACCACTGATTACCCTTACCTAGTGGAAGTACCTAAAAGGAAGGCACCAGGGACGTACGTGTCAAGGTACCTGTCAGTAATTTTGACCCGCGAAAGATGGTCGATACAATCCCGATACAGTAGGCGATACTAGCGGTCCGTCGAGGTTTTGCAGCCAGGATGCAGGCAACTAGACCATGTTTAGACTAGTAGATTTCTTCCAAGGCCAGGCTCTCTCTCGGTCGCCGATGATTGGCCGAGTCTATGTCCTAACCTTTCAGCGTTCTAAGGCACAAGCGGACAGGGTGGGGATCGGTGTTCCCCTCTTCCCCCAAGCCATCTTGACCGGAAGACGGTTCAGTAGGATGGGAAACCTTGGGTCTTGGGTAACTTTGTCTGGGGGTTGCTAGCTCCAAACTTCCACTCTTTCTCCCCCCCTCCCCTCTCTCTTTCCCTCCAGAACATCGAATCGACAAGCGGGACCCAGATAGCCTTGGCCTGTCAGTCAGTCTAAAAGAGATTCCTAATTTAAGTGCCACTGCTTGGTGCCCGTATGTATGTAAGTATGTTTATGTACCCAGTACTTGGATACCTCGTTTGATACCGAGTGTTTCCCTCCTGACCTCCAGGGTAGATTATAGTAGGTAAACATGGTAAATCCATGTTCAGTAACGATGGGGTAAGAAATGTTTAACAAAAAAGAAAATAGAAATAAAAATAAAAACGTTGACTTTGGATTTCTTCTTTTTCTTCTTCGTCGTTCACCTCCACTTTTGCATTGGGTGTGGGATTTTTCTTTTCTTATTTTCTTATTTGTATTTAGTAGTATTCTGATTTCCATTTGTGTCCATTTCGGTCTGGTGAAAGAAATCCCACAAGTGGTCCGAAGGAAATACTTCAACATAGTATAACCCGATCTTTCCGGGGTAGGGGTAGGGGTACAGGAAAAAAAAAAAAGTGGCCAAGTCTCAAGCTAGCCCGGCCGGGTTACTGGCCAGAGGGGAGCTCCACCGGCTGGAGGAGACCAAGAGGAGGTTCCAATTTATTATTTGATTACCGCTGGACAGTAGTGAAGGAGCTTAGCAGCCCGTAGTAGCTGCTAGGTACCTACTAGGTAGAGCCAGAACGATGCGGCGTTATAAAAATTACACGGCCTGCTCACGAGAGCCGGAGAGGCAAAACGAGGAAAATAAAAACGAACAAGAGCTTCCATCCCATCGGCCAGTCAGCTAGCTCTTTTTTTCTTTCCTCTCTTCGTGCAGTAAACTAATCCTCCTCATCTGGCTCGTCGAGTATTTCTTTTCCATCTGCCCCATCTGGAGCAGGTGTTCTTGACTTTCTCGTCTTTTTCTCTCCCCCATCTTCAACCTGTTTTTTTTTATTTTATTTTAGTTCATTTTCTCCTCCTCCAACAGCCATCATCATCCCTTGACTTGGGGTCTGGCTTGCGTACCTGGAAGGAGAACCGCCTGAGACCCGCAGACAGCAGCTGTCTGTGTCTGTCTGCCTCTTGTATCACAGAAACGTTGCAACCTCGCCCGGACCGACCAGTATTATTACTACTGAACTACATCTGAGAAATCCGTTGGGATCGTGCTTTGCACTTTCTCTTCTACATCTCTCCCTCTTTCGCCTCTCCGTTATCGCGTCACTTGTTGATTTCTTCTTTTGCACTGCGTGTTCGTCCTTGATCATCATTTTGAATATTATTATTATTAGATCCATTGCTAGGTACGTCTGGAATACCTGCCTGTCGGCTATGCTGGACCTCCAGGGCCAGCCTCACCTCCGTCCATCCACCTTCACTACTGCGCTTCCCCATTTGATCCATCATTCGGTCCTGCGACTTGGCTGCCAATCGACCTGCCTGTCCAGACCTCCAATGATTACTGTCGAGGCTGCATGCCGTCGGACTTAATTTGCAGTGACATTCCTGTTCCCTCCGCTTGTCCAGACCTCCTTCCCTCTTCTTTCTTTTCCCCTCCCACCCGCTCTCCTATTTTCCCTCCACCATAGCTATTCTTACTACTACGGGCCATACTTCCAACCGTTTTCTCCCTCCCCCCCTCTGTCGCCTGTACGATTTCTTGTCGTGTTTGTCTGCTCATACGTTATTGCAAAACTTTTTGTTCTTGTTATCACTTGCTGCTTCTTTTCAGATTTGTTTTCCTTTATTTGCATCTCTTCTTATCTTCCTGGAATCCGTTGTTTGCTCCCTGTGTTCCTATCGCTAGCCGGCCCACTCCCCGCTATCCTTCTTGCGACTCACCTTTCAATAGCTTTTGATTCTGCACTTGCATTTCCTCACCATGGCACCTGGTGGTGGACGAGATTTTAACTGCACCTGGGAGCATTGTAATAAGGTATGAATCTACCCAGTGTCGCTTTTCACTTTCCACTCTATCGCTTGCTTGAAGGCGTTATAGTTTCCGTGCTAATAGCAGTAGTCCTTCAATCGCAAATCAGATCTGTGCAGGCACTATCGGATACACACCAATGAGCGACCGTATCATTGTACGGTCAAAGACTGCAACAAAAGCTTCATCCAACGGAGTGCACTGACAGTGCATTCACGAACGCATACCGGAGAGAAGCCTCATGTCTGTGACCACAGAGGATGCCACAAGGCTTTTAGTGATGTATGTACAACTAGCTCACCACTTTTTTTATCTGCTAACCACCACAGTCATCGAGTCTTGCTCGTCACCGAAGGATCCATACAGGGAAAAGGCCGTATATCTGCCAAGAGCCAACGTGCGAACGAGCGTAAGCATTGGCCTGGTTCTCGTGCTAATGTCTTTCTAACAACGTGAAGCTTCTGCCGCAAAACGACCTTGACCAAGCACCAACACCGCTCCCACCCTCCAGGATCCATGACCCGACTGCCCTCGGAAGATGCGGTTTCCGAGCACTCATATCAAGGACCAGTCGCCGTTCCTGTGCCGAATGAACAGTACCTCTTAGCCCAGCAACCCTACTACCCTCATACCCCGACGCCGACTCATGAGTTTTATCCCCACCAGAGCCTACACATAACGCCGGTGCCCATACAAGAACAGCCACCAATCGTGACTCAGCACATCCCTGTCACGTCACCGGTTGACGTACAGCGTGCTCAGCAACACTACATGCAGCTTGTGCAGCAACAGCAGCAGCAGCAGCAACGATACGATCCTGGCCGTCAGGGATATCTGCCACCGGAGTTCCAGCAACCATACCATACCCTACCCACAGCGGAAGGCCCACCGCTGATGGTGACCAGCACTCACAGTGACTACAAGCCGCCGACCCGCATCCTGAACCAGCCCGAGGGAACGGACTGGGGCTTCCTGGGTGTTGGCTAATGAGCCCACGAGTGCCTTTGCATGATTCGACAGCGAGTGTTTCAGACTAGGAGTTACAATGCGTTTGTGCTTTGAGTGATGCCCTATCATGACTGTCATTTACGAGTCCTTAATTTAGTCAGACGCCTCATCCGCTGCTATTTCTTTATTTTCTTCATCTACGGCATAACGCCTTTTGTGATATTTGCGGACTATGATGTTTTCTTTGGTTAAGTTGCGTCCCTCCTCTGTCAAAAGGCTGCGAAGAGGTTTTATTTTTGTCATATTCTTGATACCTTGGCAAATGATGCAATTTGCTTTTCTATACCAGCATAGCCTATACGTTCGCTTTGGGTCTGAATGACGTGCTGGGCAGCTGCGAGCTGACAGGCACGGATACAGAACATGGGTGTATGTACTTTATTTCCGAAGCTTTTAATAATGCCTTCCCCCCTTCGGAGTACTCTTTTCCAGTGACGCTGACGGCGCGCGCGACGTAGGCCGTCGATCAGCACCTACCAGAGAAACAAAGCCGTGCTGACAAGGATGCTATGGACCGAGGAAGTAAGTAGTGGTTGCTTGGCTTGGCTCGGCTCGGAGGGGAAAAAGGGACACATGGGGGCGCCCATTGTTGTCGGGCCATTGTTCTAGGAAGCTACTAGCCTGTCAGGAGCTTCCTTAAGACCCGTACCAACTTACCAAACCAACGTCAGCCAAGGATCGACGGCTGAAACGGTTGGGGGATGGAAAGAAGGGAAGGAAGGAAGGGAAGAGGCTCCACACGTCGATGGCGCTTGCAGCAGCAAAGACCAACCAGTCATGGGGTTGAAGTCTATCTAGTTAACCCACGACTGTCGTAGCGCCTGATCGACCCCATCCAGCCGCCCATATGGTTTGGTTTGGGGGGGGGGGGGGGGTGGGAAGGAATACACGAGTCACGAAGAGGATGGAGGGAGAGAGGAAGGAGGGGGTGCGGCTAGACAGGGAGCTTTTTGGTAAGGTGCAAGTGGGCCGAACGACCACACACACACACCATAGCCCGAATGAGATAGTCTTAGTCTAAGTCTACCGTAGTGCGTGTATTATGAGAGAAGGAAGAGAGAGAAAAACAACAGACTATGATTGATTCGATGACCTGGCACCTGCGTTTGGTCGCTTTTCGATCGACTGTACATACATGCATGCGCCAAGTTTGGATATTATTTTTCTTACCACACGAAAAGGAATGGCTGTGATATCTTTTGGTTTTGTGTTTTTCTCGGCTATATATACTTACGCGTCCACCAAACTTTTATTTTTCATGGTTGTGGTATCTGATTCCATACAGAATAGACAGATTGACAGCAGCAATAGGAAAGAAAGAAAGAAAGCGGATCCGATCGGTAAGATATGATAGAATATGATACCCGTCCAACGGGCAGAACCGGACGGAGCTCTCCGACCCGAAAGAAACAAAGGGTAAGTTTAGTGGTTAAGTTAAGTTAGTTAATTGAATCAATCATATTCTCGGGGATAAAGTATCCGAGACTCGGTAGTACTTAGTAGTAGTAGGGAGGTGTGGAACAGGAGAAGACAGAAAAACTGGTTTTTTTGTGTCTTTGGTGTTTGTTGTTGTGTAGTGTGACTGGCACTAAACTAGACTACTAGTAAGTAATCTAGCCCGGGGGGCGGAAGTATGTACTGTATTAGACTAGACTAGACTAGACTAGACTAGATCTATTATTTAGTTAGTTGGTTAGTTGGCTAGTTAGTTAGTTAGGTTCTGGATATGATCAATAACTGGGTTTGGTTAGGGTAGGTTAGGTTAGGTTAGCATAGGTATGGGAATGGGGATGGGGATGGCGATGGAGACAGAAATGGAGAACGCGGCGATTGACCGACCGGTCGGTCGGTCGGGAGTAAGCGCCAAACGAATGGACAGAATGGGAATGGAATGGATTGAGTGGAGAAGGTTCAAGGAGGAGATATACGATGATGATAGTAGAGATTGATTGTGAATGAAGTTCGAACTTCAAGCTAAGGAATCATCCATTTTTGGTTCGATGCCGTTTGTATGGACGGAATGTTTGTACCTGATTGGATTTAGTCCCCGTTTAGTTATTTACTATCTACCTCCAGGCTGTCTAGTAGTTTAGAAAACTTGGAAGTTGGAAGTTGGAATTGCTGCAGAAAGTAGGAATGAATGAATCACAGTCAATATGGATATCATTTCCGTGTGACAGGGAAGAAGTTTCGGTCTGGTCTGAGTCTGACATAGATAGATGGATGGACAGACGGGCTGTGATCGACCGTCTCTTTTGTTTAGTTTTAATTAGTTAAACTTGGAAATCCACTTCGGTCTATTCCTGCGTGTAGTCATCTGGGTGAGATGATGGATCTCGTGTTGGGATGATGAGCAACAGGACTTGACGGGGAGAGAGGAGAGTCTAGATGGATGGGCTGTGGGGAAAGATGAGGATGGAAAGAAAGGCTGCGGGGGTTGCCTTGTGGTTTTATTTAATTACTCCGTAGTTTATCCAAGTAGTTAGTTAGTAGGCAGTTTGTTGTGGATTAGAATTGACATGACTGAGGATAATTGGATCCAAGAATAACTACTTCTATGCTATGAGTTTCAACTGTTTGAGTAGTATTTCTCACTTTCTCCGTAAGTAGTAACATATTGATTGTATGTAGTAAGCTAAAGTAGATATAGTATATTGTCTTACGACTGCCGGCTCCACAATCCTTCCTTAGCTACTAGCACTTAATCGAACAATCGGAAATCCAAATCCAAAGTCTAGAGTTAGCTAGTTCAGTCAGATACTCAGACACTACTATGCTAACTACTTAAGTGTCAACTCAACTCATTTCCCAAAATAAGTCTGATTGCCGACGGAACTTAACTCATTCTTTGTTGTGATCGTCAATCCGTCGCCTATCTGGTTACTAATACTATACTAGTATAGTATACTTAGTAACTAGTGAGTGAGTGTAACAGTAGGGTATGACTTACCTAACTATTCTACTTCAACATTGGAAAAGATAAAGATAGTCTGGATAGGTAGTAAGTCTAGGTTTAGTTTGTTTTGCTTTGGTGATATCATGCTGCACTGCACTGCACTTCGCTTAGAGATGGAAATGACATGGATGACATGGATGAGATGAGATGAGATGAGATGGTTGATACATACTTACATACATGTAATATAACATACGTGGTATATTACCCATTACTTGTATTTGTAAAGTATATTATGTATGTATGTATGGTAATATACATTTAAATAGATACTACTTATCACTACTTACTGACTTATCTGTGGGATGATGATGATGACAGCCCAAGAAAGTAAAAACAATGCGAAAGGAATCCAAGTAGATGTGATGATGATGTGATGGGGTTGCTTTTCCTTATCGATCTACCAATCATGATGTTGATCAAACAGGAAGATAGTAAGTAAGTAGTAAGTAGTAGCAGCTTGTCGGGGAAATATCGGATCGTTCATATGCTGGTGGTGGTGGTGGTGGTGGTGGTGGTGGTGGTGGCACACCATACCACTCACACGGCTGGCATAAGCAATCAAGCCACCACCACCACTACCATCATTGCTTATGGATTGGGTTGGGTTGTGGTGGTGGTAGTGGATAAAAATTTATACCTGACAAGTAAAGTATATGATGTGGTAGAATACAAAAATATACCCTAAAATCATATGGAAAGAAAGAAAGTAGAATAAGAATACCATTCATAAAAGCCTCATACATTCATCAAAAGTACCAGCATACTGGCATATACCACACAGCCTCCTCCAAAGTTATCAGTCACCCCATAGTACCCACCCACCCACTCACTCACCCACCGACAGACAGACAGACAGATAGACAGACAAAAATTGAGGCAAGGCCACCACCACCACTCAAACACATCCATCCGGCCTAATACACGAACCAACCAATCCCAGAGTAGCGCAGCACAATCAACAAGGATATAGATAGATTGTACACGTAGCGACCATACAATACTTATACCTTATACCTACTTCAGTCTACACAATTAATTCATAGTTTGATTGATTGATTGTCATATAATACTGGATCATTATAAGATACCACGCCATCAATCGATCAATCAGTGTCATATGTTGGGTTGAACTCCCACTGGACATGGGGACAAAAGTACCTTGCATGTGAGTGCTTGCATGGGGTAGACTACTAACTAAGTAGCTAGTGTTGGTTGACATGGGTGTGGGGTGTGCTGTATCTTTTCTTTTCTTTTACCCGTGGGTGCTCATATTTGGGAAGTACTCCGTAATTCGTTGTCAGTGTACTGCTGTCTACTAAGGGGATGATGGTGTGTTTCAGATGGTTGTGTGAGGGAGTATGTCTACCTATCAGATTCTAGGTCGATTCTACTGGGTAGTGGCAGGGTAGGGATACTTGTGAGTAGAGGTATAAGGGTAGCAGTCAGCTAAGTACTAGGATGTCGATGTCAGTGTCAATCAATCCAATACACATAGTGTTTCGAATTAATATCATTATGTTCAGCTGGTCTCATGATCAACTCACCTGATCACTCGGAATTCATCTCTTCTCGGTATCGAGCAGCTATACACATCCCTGTAGTAGCTATTCCATAACATATTGTATATGTGCATACTTATCCATCCTATACCTATAGACGCAGCATAACTACCAACTGCATGCCATCGGTTCACCGGCGCAGCACAATCCGACAGACACATAGATAGCTTACTGTTCCACAACCCCCTCTACACGCCATGGCAATCCCACGCCACGGGGTAAGCTCCTCATGATCATGGAAGAGTCGTATTCAGTACCTGGCTGTGTTACCTTGTGTGAGTGTTGTTCCGAGGCCGAGGCTGAAGTGGAAGCGTTGAACGGTCTGGGGTATCTTGCTCTGAGGATCTCTTGTAGGTTCGTTCGTAGGGCAGTGTATATATACTGCTGCTGTACTTGTCGTGCATTAATTTCTATAGTATATGTATGTATATATCAGTTCAATCTCAATCTCAACGCATACCATGAGCGGGTCAATCACCAAAAGAAAAAAGTAGAGAAAGTAAGCTTACAACTCTCCTCTCACAACCAAGCCCTCATCACTCATACTAACCATATACCGGCCTCATCTCGAAGTCTAGATGCTCAGCTGCCAACTTATCTGGACAATAGAAGTATATCCTGTACCACATCGGAATGTATCCATCAAGGACAAAGACAACTCGAGACCTGAATCTCGAGCATAAAAGCACCTAGATCTCCTGTCCCCTTGGGTATCGACATCAGCATCACTACCACTTTCCTCAAGCATAACAATTCAACGAAGCAGTGACAAAATGCGTTTCACCATCCCTCTTACCCTCTTCTTCGCCGCCCTGGCTATTGCTGCTCCGGCTGCAGAGGCAGACAATGATGTCGACGCTGCAGTGTCTGAGGACCCTGGTCTGGCTGATGCGCAGCGCTGTCGGCCAGGATATAGACAGTGCATGGATGTGTGTCTCCTTTTCTTTATCTTTCTATCTCCTTCGACTAGAAGGTCTACATAAGATAGGTTAGCTAACCAAGTATAGAACTGCAACCGTCACCACGGAGGTGAACGCTGCTACCGGGTAACTCTAACTTCTTTATCGTCTCAGTAACAAACCTTCTAACAACATGTAGGCTTGTCGGGCTCACTACTGCTAGTGACTTGCCCCATACACACCTGATTGATCGTCGGGTAGTCTCAAGAGAGAATGATTGATTTGATATTGTGCTCGTTCCGTTGACGTCAACGCAAGCTATTGTCCTTCTTTAACTAAATCGAGCTGTCTTATGTCACTTTCTTCCACGCGTAAGCCAGACTCAGTAGTCAGTAGTACCGAATTAACCAGAGCAAGAACGTCAATAATGGCCAATAGCCCACCAGCCATCAAGAATCTCGGACAGAATATGGCAAAGAGCATCAGATGACGGCGGAGGATACACGCCCACAATGCCGCGAAAACAGCCCAGACAGTGTATATAGTGCAATGAATGGCCAGGAAGTGTGCTTGGCTCTGCTTATCTCCCGGGTGGAGAAGAGGCACGGCGCATGCTGCCACGATTGGCGCGGCGAATGTATTGATGATCACCAGTAGTGGTGACCATGGATACTGTGTATCTCGGAATGGAATGTAGGCTGATTTCCATTGGATGCTGGATAAGGTGGCGTTATGACCAGTGCTGAAGAAGTGTAATGTCCCAAGGAGCGCTGCGATGGTGGGTTTGATGGAGCTGTTGCTGGGGTTGAGACGCCAGAGGCTGATGAGTTGATAGTAGAGGATTGCCAAGGACAGCCCGCCTGTTGGGGTACTTGAGAGAATGCCTGTAAGGAGCATTGCTGTCGTGAAGATGAGTGGACGTTCGAGTGGCCGATGTCTTGGAGTGGTTGTAAACGCAGTTGCTAACCCGATAAAGACAATGGCTAGCACCATTCGTGCAACAGTCATGCGCAGAGTTTTGGAGGTGTCATCTGTGAGAAGGTCCGCCAGCCAGCCATTGTTACTTGCTGTTTCTAGTGCATTAAAGACGGTGGTGAGCAGCAGCGCACTTGGTATGCCGAGTCTGAACCAGAACGAATTTCCAGCCGAGTGGTCTCGCAGAGCGAGTCGAGTAATGTAAAACACAGCTACGGCGGTAATGACCGGGCTCGATAGCTGCCAAACCGAGCTGCTCTCCAGGCGATAGAATGACGTTTTGCAGAATGGCAGTTGCTCTTCGCGACAAGCCCGACTGAGCGAGACGACCCGACTCAGAAGCATGAATATCACCGAGCAAGACGCTTCACGTACACCTTTTGCATGGTTTGACGCGCCAAGAGTGCATAGCCCGAATGTCGAGAGAAAGACCAAAACCACTCGGTCCTCCCAGATGGTATAGGAATTCGAAGCAAATCCGATGCCGAGCAGTAGAGTGAATATCACAGCCTGCCAGCTCCAAACTCCCCCCGGAAGGCACCTGCGCACGACACTCAAACCAGTTTGCCACATATTCCACACAACACTGCCCAAAGCAGCGCGCAGAATCACTCCATCCGTGAGGGAACCCTGAGCAAAGTCAGCCAAAGCAACATGACTTGCCGCAGCAACCATCCCCATCAGGATCCCCACTACCATCCCAGACCATTTCCTCAAGCCAGACCTCCCATTCACCTGGGAACATATCAAGACCACCACACTCAGCAACAGAACCACCAACCCCTCAACCATCTTCAGCGGATCAAACTGAGCCCACATACGCTTATACCCCTCTAGCATCCACCCTTGATATCCCCTCAACCTCTGATAATACTCCCTCAAAGCCTCCTCATCCCCAAAATTCACCTCACCATCAAACCATCCATCCCATCCATACCTCTCATACTCGATCGTAAACCTCTGAATCTGCGCCCCAACCAACGCATTAACCTCCACCAAGCGTCTCCAATCCCTCCCCTCCCTCCCAGCAAACGCCTCCTCAATCGGCCGTCCCAAGTTACTAAATGGCACCGGCACACCCATCAACAACGCCAACGTGCTCACAAAGTCAACCTGCGGGATATCTCTCCCCACAACACCAGTAACTCCATCACCACCATCATCACCATCAACAACCCCCCAAACCTCCCTACTCGAATACAACCACAACGCAGCCCGTACCTCATCCCCGGTCTCACCCCCATGATTCCCATTCTCATCCATCCCATGATCCCCCATAACAACCAACAACGTCTCATCATCCACACTCTCCATAACTTCCCTTATAACCCCATCCATCTGAACCAACTTCTCCCTCATGCGCTCATGCCCCGGCCCAAACCGATGTCCGACGTGATCAACACCCAGGAAATGGGCGATGATCACGTCCCACTTCTCCTTATCTTTACCCTTGAGCAAAGGCACCAAATGCTCATACACCCCATCATCAACCGTATGTAAATCCTCCACTAGGAACGATTCATACGGCCGTGACAGGGTGGGGTCAAAGTATCCCGGGAAAAGTTTCATCCAGGTATCATCGCCCAACAGGACGAGACGTTTCCCTGCGTCGTGGAGTTGCGATATCAGGTTATCTTCTGTGACTGCTGAGCCAGCGAAGTTGGACCCTGCTTCGATAAACGTGGGTAGAGTGCCTGTTGTGAGGGCTTTCAGGCGCTGGAGGGTGGTGGTGGGTGGGTCGGCGATGAAGGGGTAGAGGAGGGCATTGTGGGGAGTGGTGAGGGCTGTGGTGTGGAGGGTGGTGAGGGCGTTATGGTATGTTTTGTTGTTGGTGGTGGGAATGGTGAAGTCGTAGCGGAGGGCGTCGATGAGGAGGAGGATGGCTTTGGTGAAGGTGGGGGGCGTCCAGCAGGTTGTAGTAGTGGTGTTGATGGTGGTGATGGGAATGGGAGGATGGGAGCAATTGCTTTTCAAGTCGAGGGTTTGGCGTGTGAGGAGGAAGCCTTTGGTGAAGAGGTATAGGCCTGTAGTGTGGAGGAGGCTGGATGTTGTTAGTTAGTCAATTGAGCTGGGGGTGTAGGGATGGTGGGGTAGTATACATACAGAATGTAGAGGAAGAAGAGAGGGAGATGCCATCTGCTGGTGGTAGTGGTGTTAATTGATGGGCCCATGCTGTGCTGGTATAGATGCTGCAGTACATATCAATCAGACTATACTATCTGTCGTATTGTCTATCGACAGCGTACACAGATGATGATCATCACATTTTCTTCATTTAGCAGAAGCAAATCAACAATCAGGCAGCTCTATTTGCAATCCACAGGCAATAGTCTCCTTAAGTTTTTGTGGCACGAACTTTCCCCTGTGTAACCATCACACAAACAACAGTCAAATTCACTTCAACCTCATTCAAAACAAAGTAACTTAACTAGATACTGTATACAGATCGATACTACTCTCCCAGACAGAGATTAAAATAAACCGTCACTTACCAATACACACCACACCCGTATTTCGATACCAAAACCAAAACCAAACCCCTTACTATCGTATATAACATACATACTTACTTACATAACCAAGCACTAACTAAACTACTGCAGTCTAACCAACCAAGTAACTAACTAGGTTACTAATTCTCCGCCGCCAACCACCTCTTAGCGAAGTGGATAAGTAACAACTTACAGTAATAGTCTAATAGATAGCTAGCCTGAGGCTACGCTACTGCTGCTCCTGCTTGCTGCTGATCAATTGCGCTCGTATTGGGGGGACAATCTTAGCCCGATGCGGGAAGCATTAGCGAGGACAAATATGGTTGGTCGGTGAGGGGAGAAGATCGTAATCAATCAACCTAGGTACATGTTTGTAAACTAAATCGAGATGACAGCTTAGTTACTAAGTTACTCACTTTACGTGTGACAAGTAACTTAACTACTGTAGTCAGTAAATTAGGTAGCTTGGGGGCGTTTACCTGGTTGACTTAATCTAGGTTGATGGTAATGAGACGAGCTTGTTTTTAACTTTTTTGGGGAAGTTTTGAAAAGCCATTATGGGGATTGGGGTAGTTACTTTCCGTGGGTCGGATGGGGATGGGGGAGGGTTATGCTTAATGGGCGTATGATGTGGTCTGTGTAATTGTTCTGGAGTTCTTTTGGGGAATAGTTGATAAATGCCGGGTTATAGTGGGAGATATTATTACAGTGAGACAGTTCAGTACAAGTTAAAGCAGCTGTTTCATTCCCATGCATGTTTCATTGATTGGTTCCTTGTATATACCCATATCCATACCCATTCTATGATAATCCTATACAAACTCTCCTCTCTCTCTGTCTCTCCATATATTCTTATATACCAATAATATACCCCCCAGAAAAAGAGAGAAAGAATCCTACCAACTCGTAACCCCCCTCTCCCTATCGAACCCACCCCTCAACTGCTCCCCAGGCTTGACCACCTTCCCTTGCAACACCGTATACCGCACAATATTCTCACAATCCTGGGGCCTCACCCTCGCAAGCCAGATACCCTGCGCCGCGCCCTCTTCCTCCTCAGTCCCCTCCGTCTTCTTATACCACTCAAAGTCCCGTCTGCGATAAATAATCACGTTGGCCGCATACTTATGTCCACCCACATGGTTGATAAAGTAGATTCCCACACCACCAGGCCTCTCATCATCCATATCCCGATACAGGCCTAGATGGCGCAAATGGCGCTCGAATTCCTTGCGGAGAAGCGGCGCGGACTGTCCGCAGCGGGCGTCGCGGGTGCGGTGGGAGCAGAGCAGGATGACGGCGGAGTGAGGGGAGGGACGGGAGCGGAGGGAGGTGAGGGATTGAATGTCGGTAATGTTCTCTTGTTCTTCTTCTTGCTGTTGTTGTTCTTCAGTTGAGGGCTGCTGCTCTTGTTGTTCACTCTCATCATTGCTGTTTCCACCAACCAACGGGGTCGTAGTCGTCGGCGAGCGATTCACAAAATACTTAATCAAATCGGGCGCCAGCTGCGGCGTGACATGATCGACGATAGTAAACCTGGGCAGAAGCAACACAGTCGTAGGCTGTTTCCCCGCATCATGATAATGATATTCATCCGGGACGGGCATATTGGAGGCGGACAATTTCAGTTTCTAGACATAGCCACCCACCCACACCGGTTAGCTTCTTCTTCATCACTTCTCACAATTCTTGCTTATCGCACAACCAAGACGAGAGTCATACCCCATTACTAGGCACCAACCCCCCCTTCTCAATCGCCTCCATCACACTCCCCTCTTCATCCGCAACATCCCTCACCCAATCCGCCTTTCCAGTCGCGACCAGCACATGCGTCGACCAGCCATTAATATTCCCGTACATGGTATCTTCCTGATCGACATCGAATTTGGTGGGGTATTTCACCGTGCAGGACGCACAGTCGTGTAGACATTCCTCGCCGTCGATGGCGGGGTCGGTCTTGGGAAACAGGGTATCGACCGATGGCGTATTATTCTCATCATCATTCTCATCCTCCTGGGGTTTGGGGCTGTCTTTGGGACTCCTGTCCTGCGGGGTTGCCGAGGGGGTCGGGGTGAAGAATGAGCGGCCTCGTTGGAGGATGGATTGCATTGTGAATATAGTAGTGTAGCAAGGGGGGTTAGAAAGGGAAAGGAGGGAAGTAAGTTGAATAGGAGCAGGGAAAAAAAAAGGTATTATCTTTTCTTTCATTCGGACTTTTGGGAACCGCCAGATCTTATCAATCGCCGCGCGCGCCTTGCCAAGGACGGAAAGCCACGCCGACACGGCTTTGATGCGGCTTGTGGTCGGTTGCTGCCGGACCTCCGATTGGCTTACGTCACGGCAGGAGCAACTCTTTGCCGATTTCTGAAAGTGGGGGGAAGTTCTTTTTTGGGCGTTGGGGAAACACAGCGAGCCCAGGGCAGGTGGATATATGGGTAATTAAGGCCAATAGGAGACGCTGTGTAACTAATAGTGGCATATTGCGAATCTAAGGGAGAAATCGCATCTTCAATCGTGTAATTATCCAAAATAGTTTTGGTTTTTTCTCCAGTTCTTATCTAGTATCTATGTTTGAGGTCTACCGTCGACGCGGCTGCTGCTGCCAACGTTATAAGCGTACGGTAAATCCGTCGGACTCCGGGTCTCGACCAGGCGAATCACGCTCCCTCCAGAGCTACCAGATACATTCGATTGCACTCGTCGAAGCGACCGCATCGATGGCGTCCGAGGAGGCGCCAGGGTTCGCTGCGCCTCCGAGCGTCTCGACCAAACAGGCGACCAGCGACCCTGTCTAGCGCCGTCCCAAGTGGACGCATTCGAAGGCCGCAGACTATTACTCCGGCCCCGAGACATGGCTTCACTATCGCCATAGGAATCCACCGTATCGGTTTCACCTTCCTCGTCCGAAGGCCCGATAAGAGACTCGCTCTCAGCCTGGGAGCTCCCACCACCCCGCACCTCATCCAGGATCTGGGGATCCAAAACCTTCATTCCCCTCAGGAGCTCCGCAAACACATGCATCAAAGTCCTGAACTCGGCCTCGTGTAGCTCACGCGTTGAAAAGCGCGCCCGCTCGTATAGAGCGACAAACTCCATCCCAATTTCCGGCGGATCAACCACATTCAACGCAGCCAAATGCTGCAAATACCCCCGCAGACCCATCGATATCGGCCGCCGTAATACTTCCACCACCCGCGTGTCGGGAATCGACTCTTCGGTCTCGGGAAATGGAGCGTGAAGCGCCCGCTGGGTGGCCGTGAAGATCGGGTCGGGAGGAGCGAGTGACACTGCCTTGGCCTCGATGAGATGAGGCAGTTCCTGGACTACAGTCCGATAGGGAAGGTCGGGCAGGTCAGGACATGAGGGCGAGGACCATCCGGGGTGCTCGACTTGACCCCAGGGTGGATTGTCATAGTCCACCAGGAGCGATTCGTAGCCTGAGAAATCATGTCCGTCGGCTGCAATGTCCCTAGGTCGAGCCTGGTAGGCTATGATCGCACTATGCGCCAGACCCTCCTTAACCAGTCGGCGCACACTCTTGCCGACGTCTTCGCGCTCGACGGGGATCCATGCTTTGGGGATGCCGGAGAGGACGGTTCGGTTGGTATATATACGCGTGGTGTAGACTAGAACCGCGAGAATGAAGGTGACAACGTAGCCGCCGGTGATGATGAAGATGTTCGTGAGGCGCTGCGTGATGTAGCACTGGTAGATCGCATCGGCGGGAGTCAGGATGATGCAGAGGAACAGGACCAAGGAGAGGAAGGTGAAGACAGTTAGGTTCAGGACGCGCTGAACGTTGATGGCCATAACCGCGAGCACGTCATATTGTGCCGCTGTACCGGCTGCTCTCAGGTGCAAGCAACTGGCCGGTAGAAGATATACTGCGTAGCTGGGATTAAGGGGATGCCCGTTGCGACCGTGAGATGAGCTGGGTGTCACGTGGTTAATGTGGGCGCGATCGGCATCTGTCTTCCTGTACGGATACTGTCTCGGAACAAGCCATCCCTACCATATCTACTATGTTTCTGCGATAAATCAATATGACTTCTCAAAGGTATATATGCCTACGCTTATGCTTCTATTGCTCTACGTGTATTAATGCTAGGAATCACGACCTCTAGTCGTCCTGGACAGCCACCTCGTCCTCCCACTGAGGCTCGAACTGCGCCCGAGCCCGGCGGATGACCCGCTCGATACCGTCCAGACCCATCTTCAGGACATCCATCTTCGGGCCGTAACTCAGACGGACGAAGTGGTGGCAAGGGCTGTCGAACAGGTCTCTTCTGTGAGCGGGGTTCAGGTCGAAGAAGATACCAGGGACCACAATGACCTTCTCGGTCAAGAGGGCGTTGAAGAAGTTCAGTCCGTCGGACAGGTTGGCCTCCTTGGGGAGAGGAGGGTCCAGGGAGGTCAGGTCAAGCCAGATGTAGAAGGTGGCCTGGGGCACCTCGTCGATGCGGAAACCGATCTCACGCAGACGCCCAACGACGAAGTCTCTCTTCTCACGGAAGTGCACCTGGAGGGCCTTCATCTCTGCACGCACCAGCGACGGCTCGAGCATGGGAACGGCGGCTTCCTGGAAAGGCGCATTGGCACCACCGTCCAGGTAGGAACCAGCAGAGCCCAGGGCGTCGATGAACTCCTTGGGTCCAACAACCCAGGCGATACGCCAACCCGGAAGACGGAAACGCTTGGTCAGACCGTCAATCAGAAGCACATCTGTGAGAGTCAGCATGGCAGGAACAACCTGCACCGGTTCTCGTTTGTTCAGAGAGGGTCAGCGGGCGAACCATCTTTGTTGACATCTTCGACGTTGGTGGCACCACTGATCGTGGTTCCGTCACAGTCGGTAGTGTAGTTGTAACCGCCGTAGAATTCATCCAGGATCAGAGTCGCACGATCTCTGCAGATGTCCTGTATCTGAGCAAGCTCCGGGTTGGAGACAAAGTGTCCGGTAGGGTTACGAGGGTTGGAGGTCAGCAACACAGATGTTCCACGAGCGATCTCCTCGGCGATCTTGTCGGGGTGAATTGCGTAGTGGTCGTCTTGGGCGAGGGGAATGGGAATAGGAGCGATCTAGATGCAGAGTTAGCCACCGTATACAACCCCGAGCCCACTGTTCACTGCTGTCATTCCACTAGCAGCGCTAATTCGCACTCACGTTCTTGAACAGCGACAACATCTCAGAGTACGCCGAGTAATCAGGGATAGGGAAAGACAAGTACGAGTTTCCCAGAATAGCAGCAATACGGATCAGACCCGCACGACCACCGGGGACAATGCAGACGTTCTCCCAGGTGTACTGACTGGCCTTGCCCTGACGGTAGTGCTCATTGTAGAGGCGAGCGACGGCGGCACGCAGAGGCTTGATACCGGCGGTGGGACCGTACTCACGGGCGGCGGAGGTGATAGGGATGGAAGTCGGACGAGGGAAACTGCCCTCGATCTCATCATCGGCTTCAGGGGCACCCTGACCTAGGTTGGCCCAGGAGTGAGGATCCTCAGCATAACCATGTTCGGTGGCACGCTCGGTACACCAGACAACACCGGTGGAGGCACGGGAGGCATCGAGACCGGCATGGGGACGGTGACCTTCGTGGGCGCTACGGAACTGACGGTGGGTTTCGGAACGAAGTTCTGCATGACAGGAAGTGATGTTAGTTGGAGTGCATGTAATAGTCCTCGACTAGTAGCTTGTGTTGTTGTTGAAGGAAACGGAGGATTATGTGCCCCTCATGCACAAGGCTGAGCAGCATTGCTGCATGCAGTGGGAGCATGTATAGAAGGAAGAATGCAGGGAACATGACTTCTTCAAATGAAGAAAAGAATAAAAGGAAGACATATGTATAAACGAACAACGTACCATTCTCAGACAACTCCTTGCCGACCGAGAAGCGGCGGTTGGAGGGGCGCAGGATGCTCAAGCGGCGGCCGGAGAAAGACATGCTGGGCTGCTTTTGCCAAGTCGCAGATTCTGGGGAAGAAAGCAATCTAGTGTATGCAAGCTATCGGAGTTCCCTGGATCTGAAGGGTGTAAGAAAGGATTATTAAGTAAGAATTGGGAATTTCTTTAAAATGGTACGAATAGACAACAGGAGAAGGAAAAAAAAGATAGGCAAGTAGTAGAGGCAAAGATAGAACTTACTCTCCAAAAGAACAAGAGTTGGAGAACAGAGAATTAAGAAGGGAGAGAGAGGAGAGGATATATCAATAAATAAGAATGAAGAAGAAGATAGTCAGACAGACCAGATAATAAAATAAAAAGGGAAATAAAAAAAAGTGACCAGAGAAGAAAAAAAAGGTACAAGTAATTTTTCTCTTGTTAAGGCGTTAAGGATGGATGGCTCCCTCCAACTCATTGCTTTGCCTTGTTGGTCTTGCTGTTCTACGGCATATCGACCCAGACCCAGACAGACTCTCAAGACAGACAGACAAAACTACCATTCTCCTTTTTCCTAACTCCTCTCATCTGCGACAAATAATAATAATAATAATACCACCTACTAGTAGTTTCAGCCCGCAGGCACCAGTCAACTTTCTTGACAGAATTAGAAGGAAGGAAGAAGCAGAATAATCGCGCAACTGCCGCCTCTTCCAGGGAAAGTAAAGCAAAAAAAAAAAAAAAAAGCAGCCTTACAACCACAACCATAAAATGCCTCACAACTAAACTGACTAGTAGTTTCGAGGGTTTCGCGGTCAACTGAACTGCCACACACACACACACACCGCATACGTGACGAATCGTCGAACCCAGAATCGATAAGTTTGACCCAACCGTCTCGTCCAGACCGCAATCATTTTCCCGTGGCTCAGTCCCGATCTACGGGCTCCAAGTGGACTGACTCTTCTTTCGGCTGGGATCCGACACCGGCTCTAATGAATCAATCCCAAATCATCTGCCATCATTCCTTCCGAGACCATACAAATTTACATAGTAGTGTAGTAAGTAGTATCGATTTCCGGCCCCAGTAGCAAATGACGAGTGGCGGTGGCTGCTGCCCCCCCCCCCCCCCCCATATTCCCTTATCCCCTATCGATCTTCTTGTCTACCTATCTATCTTTGGTATACAATCGGATGGACGGCATCTCAAGAAAGAGAGTTGCGACCTGTCTAATGACAAAACAGGGACTGGACGGACACCCACCACCCTCTTTCAGCCCTTTCAGGCCCCCGTTGGTTTGGACCGTGGAGTGCCCGAAGTTCCACTTCTCGGTACTGATGGATCCGTGGAATTATGGCGCCCCCCAGGTACTTTACTAACTTACTAACTCACTAACCAACCTATCTCCTATCTCCTCCCTACTCCTTTCAGGTTTATTTTTGGAGCTATTATCTTCGCCATTGTTCATACTCTATATCTGCACCCAGCACCAAGGAAATCTAAGGTCGTAATACTATCATTGACAGGGCCAGCACGGAAAGCCAGCAAAGAAAAGAAAAAAGAAAAAAAAAGGGTAAAAAGCAACAAATCAACAAGCACAACAGATGAGGTACCGCAACATCAAAGTCCATCCCAAGGCCAAATATGCAGGAACACTATACAGCTCATCTCGTATGTCCGACATCCGTCCTGCGCAATCAATGAAAAATCGGAAAGCCAACAAGCGGTATACATACATCATGCAGTCATGGTAGATCAGTTCAAATGGAGAGTCATCAACATTTCCCAGAGCAGAGAGCCGCCTCTCCCAAATCCCAACAGGGTGTCCGAAGTAAACCAACAAAACCCCGCTCCTTGCTAGGGTCCATCAAGAATCAAGCGCCCCGGCCGATAATCTTTTTTTTTTGCCTCTCCCGTAACCCAAGCGAATAGAATCAGTAGCCTCCCCAACGCTCTCCAGCCAATCCAGTTGGATGTGAGTCGTCAACTAAACCAAGGAGACAACACCGGTGACAATGTTTCATCTCTTGCCAACTCACACAGAATGAGATGCGGAGAGTAATCAAATGCAGCGATGGTCGGAGAATCAAGGACGAAAAGTAACGGTAGGAAACAAAGTAAGGTAGTGAGAAAATAAGGCAGAAAATAATCTTCAGTACTGGAACATATGCCATTGCTCCAGCTCTATCATATCTAAGTCTCCACTGCCTGACAGTAGAGTTGAATCTCTCCTACTTGACCCCTAGCGAGCATGTCACGCTGTTGTTCGCGCCACTCCATGAATGCCAGTTGAACGGCCTCGTCGCTGTCAATCGTAACAAAGTCTCCGTCTTCGTCCCGGTATCGTAGCCTGACCGACTTGCTGCCAATTGAGCGGTTGGTGAATCGGGCCAGCTTGGCGTCCACACGATCGATGAGCGAGCGGAACATGATGTTGCTGGCAATGACGAGAGTGACGTAGTTATCATCGAAATTCACTTTGACCTTTAGTTGCGTTGGCATGAGGGGCTCCTCATCCGGCTCGTGGCTCAGTGGAGACGTGGGCTGATCGGTGGCCGATGTGCTAGGACGGTAGTCAGAGTATTGGGGCTCGTGGAAATGCGTGTGCGGCACATGCCGGGGATCGGAATGTTGCTGGGAGTTGGAAAGGTGGTTTGCGTTGCGAATGGGGATGTTGGCATTGGTAGGGGAATTGTTCTGGCTGCGGTTGGGAGGCGCCATCATGCTGGATATGTGAGCGGGAATCGGCGGGACGGGTACGTTGTCGACGGTCTGCATCGTATGGGCGCCCATGTAACGACGCATTTCCGGGTTGTGGGTGTGGTTGTGGATATCGGGGCTACTCGCGGATCGCATTCGCTGGGACATGCCATTTGCCGCCTGGGCCCCTGACATCGGAGGGAGTGAGGGTCGTTGAGCACTTCGTCCATTCGGAGCACCGCTGAAATAAGGATTTGAATTAGGCCCATCTCTTGACGTCGCACGGGGCAAAGCCGGGGCTGTATACCGAGCATTTTCTTCATTCCAGTTGCCTGTAGGTGTCACTTGACGACCATGGAAATATCCAGTAGACTGGGAGCTGGACCGTGTAGACGGAGTTTCGGCGACGGGGGAGAAGTAAGATGGAGCGTTCCTCTCTGCTGGCGACATACTGCCTCCAGAAAGATGGGTGTGCAGTGACAGATTCGGATCGGGTACAGGTATGCGAGGGCGACCGGAGCTACCGCTGCCTCCTGTTGCTGAACGGGTTCGGAGACTGGTGCTGGAGGCGTTACGGCTCATCGGGAATTCTGAGAAGAAGCCTGCTTCCTGCGTGGCTGCTTGCTCTTCCGCATAATACTCTTGTTCATATGGGTTTGGAATGTTGGACATGGATCGCATGTACGTGAACTCGGTCTCGGAGGTGCCGGTGTTGCGAGCGCTGCGCTGCTCTGCCTGGATCGCCCGTTGCGCCTCGATGTCCCGACTCCATTTGCGCATGATGTCCTCGTTCGAATAGCGGATAATAAAATTGTCCACGACTCCTGGATCACCCTTCCAGAAGATCTGGATGCGATAAGAGCCTGTCACAAAGTGGTTTAGTCAAAGCAGCTCCTGAAAATGTTTGAAAAGTCCTCGTACCTGGCTTGGGAAGGCAGAGCACATCTGTCACATTCGCCATGTAGATGCGGCCTTTGAGCTGAAGCCGCGGCTTGCCTTTGATCATCGCAGCGGGCTTGTCTTTGCCTAGATTCAGTTTCGACTTTTGCTTGTTAGGGTTGATATCCTTGCAACAAAGGAGTATCCGTTCGAAGAGATAGATATGATACTAATCCAAAAGTCAGCTGGCGGTTCTCTCAACTCCATCTTTGTAAAAGGAGCCTGGGAAGGCTACTTACCTCTCTCTCCGAGTCTTTGCCATTATCACCCTTGATCACCGAGAAGGTGCCAAAACGGAGAAGGTCGCCAAATGCTTCAATCTTCAGAGCCTTCCAGTCATCCACTCGTTCATCGAGGTCTTTGACAGCAGACTGCAGGTGCTCTTTGTCAATGGCATCATTTGCCGAGTCTAAAACGGTTTGAATAGCGTCGATGGCTCGTTGGATGTCAGTCCGGAGGTCTGGGTTTTCTGTTTGCTTCAAAAGTTCCTGCGCGGTGGTCAGTAACAAGAGTATTGGCTATGTATTGAGACGAGGGAATCCTTACCCCTAACATCAAGGGGTATTTAGTCAAGCGCTGGAAAGGCTTGACAAAGAAACCGTTCAAGGTTGCGGGTTGCGCCACCATCTGTAGCAGGTCCTTGGACCGCGGAGCCATGTGAATCTTGTCCCAATCTCTGAGACAGATCTCATCACAGCGCATCTGGTTGGCGATAAAGGGCTCATATTGGCGGAAAGCTTCCTCGTGCTGGATAAACAGCTCACCCCAGTTTTGTTTCTCTTCGGGCAGCGCATAGTGCTGTTCAATACGGATCAAGAACCGCTGAGCAAAATCAAGTAGATTGTTGAGATTCAAGAAAATCTGATGGCTAGCATCACCATTTACAGCACTTGTCTCTTCTAACTCCTTCTTCAGGGCCTGTAGATTCTGGAGATGATGAACATAGTCGCGCTCCGTTTCCAGTAACTCCTTGAGGATGTGTTCCCGTTTGGTGAGCTTGACGGCACCTTTCGCGGGGGCTCCTGCTCCAATATCCGACGGTCGCTTCAGCTGTCCCTGCATCTCCAGGATGTCCAGAACCCGGTTAACCATCTTGATCACTTTGGTGAAGCCAGTGGTGTTTTCGCCGTAAAGGTCCGTGATAAGGAAGCAGTCTTGCTGAGGGAATCCCAGCTCCTTCAGGGACGCATGGAGGAATTTGAAGGTGGCGGCTTTCGGGCGTTTGGCCTCGGCAACTTTCGTTGTGTCGATTTCCAGGAACTCTTCGGGATCGGAGGCATTGTAGATGGTCAAGAGGGGATAGCCTGTCCGGAGACAATTCCACAGCGACGCCACCGGATCGGTGTTCCCCTGAGCCAGATCGGCTTCCTCCATCTCTCGCATATGGGGTTCGAAGTTCGGTACTTCGGCCAGGCGCTTCTTGAGGTTGACGCAGCTCTGATAGATCGATTCGCCGCCGCGGCGGTTGATGATGTTGTCCTCGGCGATAGGACCGCCATTCATGGTGATGGTCTCAGCCATCTCGACGGGGGTGGTGGCCGACTCGGACCGTAAGGAGTGGAGGCCGGCGACAATGTGGGGGAGGAGCGAAGGGCTTCAAATCTGCGCAGCAGACCGACGGAGGGAGAAAGAGGAAGGAAATGACAGGCGTGCTTGCACGAGGATCAAGTCGAGCATGGGTCACTGGATGCGAGCCGGTGGACCGATGCGGGATGGATGGGACAAGCGAGCAGCTAAGGAACCTTAGGAGTGGAGATGGTGGTACGTTAACTATTAACTAGTTAACTCTCCCTAAAAAGCTGAG